TTCTGATGAAGTAAACACACTGAGTTTTGTGCTGTTCCCACTAAAACTTTTGTTTTAGTGCCTCATTTGATTATTGTTAATCACTTACATAAATTTAATTAAATTTGTTTAATCATTGTGATGTTATTGTAACAGTTAGAAATATCTGATGTGAAAAGGAGTCTTATAAAATATTATATTTCCTTCATATAAGAAGTAGTAGGGAAATATTTCAAAAAATTTTGGCAAAGCAGGCAACAGACATTTGAAATTTAAGCCTCCATGAATAAACGAATGTTGTTCACCATATCTTAATCAGAAAAAGTTATAGGTGAGAATCCAGATACTGGAAGCTTCATCACACAAGTTACATTGGAAACATACAAATTTATGTTTTGTTCCGAAGTACAATGGTAGAGCTGCTTATTTGGATCCATCCTTGTCTTAGTTGGGGATGGGTCTGGGGATGGAAGCAATCTTGATCACTTTGGTAGATGATTTGGTACATGATCTAACAGGTGCTGAAGGTCTTCTCAGTGGCATTTGAGTGTCAACTCTGTCCTTCTAAAATATGTTGCTGATACAGTAATTAGGGGCGCTATATGGCAATCCCATTTAGTTTATCATTGTCAGAAGGTAGTGTCAGAAAGTTGTTTAAGTAGCAACAGACTGTGATAGCTTTTTCTTCAAGTATTCATTATTTTCTGTTAAAATTTGTCCTGTAAAATGGAGGAGATTTGATCAGTCCTGGAAGAAGCTTCTGTAAAGATTCTTCAGTAGCAGATGAAAATAGTCCAGCATCTCTTTTGAACATTGTTGTGGTTTCTTTGCATGGGCTTATTAAAGTGCCTGGCTGTTTTATGCCTATTGTGAGTGACAACCTGAAAGCTAGAGACTAATGTATTCCAGAACTTACCTAGAATTAGCCAGCTTTTATTGTTATAATAATGTATATGTGAATGCTCTGAATGCAGATTTCTAGCGGCCTTTGATTTATGTTCAATATTAATTTGAAAAATATGTGTGAGGCATACAATTTGTTTCATATTTTCTTTAAATACAAATTAAATCCTTTCCTCATGATCCAAAGAGTTCTACTACAAAAGAGCAGTTCGGTGACTTTATCTGATTCTCATCAAAGGGCATTTTTTGTACCAAAGAGAAGCAAAAATAATACTCACCAGGGACTTCTCTAATTTTTGCCGAATACCAGTTGTTCTGAATTATCTAATAATAATAAAAATGCTGCTCTGGGCTCCTTTGATGTGATTTAAATAGTCAGTGGATAGCTATGTGTGTCTGAAATGTTCTCTTCATTGTTCATTGACATAGAGATATGGGCCAAAAATAACAAAACAAATTTCAACAGAGCTGAGTATAAATTCTTCACTTAGATAGGAGGAATCAGTTGCACACATATAGAAAGGGTGACACGTGCCTTAACAAGAGTGCAAACAAAAAGGATCTTGGTGCATTGGGTGGTGGAGTCTGATTCATTAAGGGAAACGGGGCATTGTCTCCTCCAGGTTCAAACTACACTCCCCTGTCAGCCCGCTTCTGTTTGCCCTCTTCCTTGTAAGGAATCCATGAGGTGGCACTGTCTGTTCAACAAAGAGCCAGTGCATAGGAGAAGAGCAACAGGAGCAGTTTCTTGTTACTTAGAAAAAGCCCACAAGGTGGCATTAGCTGTTCCAGAAAGATGGATTGTGCAGGAGAGGAGCAACAGGGACAGGAAGGAAGGGTCAGCAGGTGGATCAATGGATTGGATTCATGTGGAGTCAGTTGGCCTATTAAGATCTCATCTTAAACCTTCAGGGCTTCTTTTAAATCAGTGAGTAGTCTTTTAGCCCTGAGCTATATTATAGTATAAGATTCATGCACCCAGCTGAAGGAAAGGCATGTTTGAAGATATAATGGGACGTTGTGTGAGTTTAGCCTGGTCTCCTAGATCGCAGAGCATACATTCGGTTAACATGATAAGCCCGAGGATTTTACCTAATTAGCAAATTGTAATGAGAACTCTGCAGGCTTCTTGAAAAAGCAATTTATGTGTGGGACACTGGCCAATAAGGAGTGGTAAGTGAGGACTAGATGAAGGAGTTTTTATCACAGCATTCCTGCAGAGGAGTTAGTGGAAACCTTCTGGACTTGCGATTACAAGAACAACTACGGCAACCTACCTAAGGTGAAAGAGGACAGCTGTAATGGCAAGAACTCTACGTACTGTACTTCTAATTCTCTTCCACCAGCAGGCAAAAACCTTTTAAAATTGTGGCAGGCTTTTGATAATTGACCAGCTGTTAAGTAAGATTCTGGACAGGTTCTGCATACTGAATGTTTTTATCTATGTGCTTTTAGATTGTTTTTAAATCATTGTATCTATAGTGTAGATCATTTATTTGTGTCTTTAATAACTTTTTGTTTCCTCTGTACCTGTTTACCTGTTTTATTAATCTTATGTGAGGTACCTTGACTCCCTGTCTTGGAGAGAAGGTGCGATATGTAAAAATAATAATAATAGTAATTCTTTCAGAGAAACTGGCCATCCTTAGTGTAGCCATTCTTGACAGTACTAAAGCCAGACTAAAAAAATGTCTAGTAGTTATATCATAAGGGAAAAAATCCCCTGAAAATACTGTCTAAAAAAGCTGGGGATCCACAGAGATGTACTGGGAAATCCTTAGCTCTGTGTATGTTCTCCCTTTGTAGGAAGACACCAGAGTGCAAAATTCTAGAAACTAGGACTGAATCCAAACCCTTCTGAATGCACAACTCATGCAGTGGAAACCTTCATTCCCCCTCCCCCCCTTACCATTGCTCTGAGCAGTAGGTCACACTGCCCCTTCTTACTGCCGCTTACAATGGCAGCAAAGCATGAGCATGGATACATAAAATTCAGTTTGGCCTCTTAAATTAATCTGATATGCACACCGCATTTGGTCCACAGTAGCTGTACCAGTGATGAGCAAAACTTTGGTTCTTCTAAACTATTTTGTGTAGTAGCAGCACTCTAGAAAAAAACTCATTGTCTTTTCCTACGATTCTGCTGTGGGTAGAATGAGCAATGACACTGGCTAAGGTCCAGTGTTGTATTCGGGTCAGTAACAGGAGGCCACGGAGCTGTCATCTTAGCACATGGAAGATCTCCAAGGGTGCATCTTGCTTTAACAAGGTCTGGAATTCAACTGAAGCCGTTTATGCCTCCTGGCCAACACTGCTTTTCACAGGCTCCATTTCCAAAAACAAGAATCCTTGAGAGCATAGAATTTTGGCTCAAAGCCTAATACTCTTTTTCTTCAAAAACCTGTGCTAGGCCCACCATCGGCCAGGAGATCTTTGTTTCCAGAGTGCATTCTCCAGTTGTACAAATGCCTTTCAAACCCCTGTCAAGGTAAAGGTAAACTTTCCCCTTGACATTTAGTCCAGTCGTGTCCAACTCTAGGGGGCGGTGCTCATCCCCGTTTCCAAGCCATAGAGCCAGCGTTTGTGCGAAGATAGTTTCTGTGGTCACGTGGCTAGACACGGAACGCTGTTACCTTCCCACCGTAGTGGTACCTATTTATCTACTCCCATTTTTACATGCTTTCGAACTGCTAGGTTGGCAGGAGCTGGGACAAGTGACGGGAGCTCACTTTGTCACATGGATTCGATCTTACGACTGCTGGTCTTTGACCTTGCAGCACAGAGGCTTCTGCAGTTTAACCCGCAGCACCACCACGTGCCTGTCAAAGCCAGACATAAATATTCAGGATGAATGGTTGCTTTCTGTCTGTTACACTGCAGTCAATAAACCTGCAGATTTTCAATACCACTTAATTGCCCAAATTAAAGTTGTTTTAGTATTGTTTGAGCAGTTTGATTCAAAAGGGGAAACCAAGCACTTCCTAATTCTTATATAAATTGTTTTACATACTACTGCTTGTTATTCAAGTTCTTAATAAATAGGAATACACAACATTTTCTTCCTCCCACTACACTTTTATCAGTTCCCAACTGCACAGGGTCCTCCCCACCAGCTGAACATATGCTAAAACATATAAGCATGCTGTGGGCATCAGTGCAGTAGGTAAAGGTGTCAAAAAGTCTCGGATGAGGGTGTACTCTCCACGTGCTAGACTAGGCTCATTGGTTGCCTGAAACTTGGGGAATTTGACACATAGATCTCAGTTCTTTCAAGCTCAGGACGTCAAGTTCTCCATTGATGCTTGGCCTGGTGTTTCCTTTAGTGGCACCACCAGTTCACCAGTATCTTAGTCTGCATTCAAGCTGATGCCGAGCTCTTGCATCAGGCATCAGGGTGGAACTTTCAGTTTATGGCCAAGGTATGGAAGAGAGGGGAGAAATTTATTCTCTGGTACACACCAAAGCTGCTTTCCTTTAGCAATTAACCGTCACTATAGAACTCACCCTATGGACAGAGCTTGGACTACAATGTGGTTGAATATCAGGTCAGCCAGCCCAGCTGCACGGGAAGAAGAAGGCCCTCTGGGAGCTGTAGCACTACAGTACAAATGGAAGTCCCCCTGTATATCAAGATCATGTTCATTTAAAACAAATCCAGGACTCTTCTTCTAAAAGACAAGAACTATCTATCAGTCTATTTACCCATCTATCCATTATACTTCAATTTTCATTTACAAATCAGTGGTAAGCTGGAGGTATTAAGAATGTACACTGTCGCTGAGATCAAGAAATCCCAGAACAGACACAGAGATTCATGGTGATACACAGCAAATGCAGTAGAGTTGGGTCCATTAAATCAGTGGGGATTTGGTGAGTCAACTGCTCTGAAAGTTGGCCACTGTCGTAACTGGGATTAAATTTAGATTGTATTCGTATACAACTGCACTCTGTCTAGAAGAGTGATTCAAGATATTCAAAATGGCCATCTGTTATAATTTAAAAGCAGAAAGTGGTATTGTACCTTGTCTCATATACCAGACCATGTATATATAATACAACAAAAAATATAATAAGCAACTGCATTTAGCTAAGTTTCCTTATCTTCTTTATTTCCTTAGCTCTGGGACAAATTATGTTGTACGTGGATGGGATGAATGGTGTAATAAATCACAATGAAACCATCCAGTGGCTGTACACTCTCATTGGGTCAAAGGTAAGGAAACAACCATCTATTGAACATTTCATGGTGATTACACCATAGATTTTAAAATGAATTTGTGTGTGTGTGTGTGTGTGTGTGTGTGTGTGTGTGTGTGTGTGTGTGTGTGTGTGTGTGTGTGTGTGTGTGTGTGTGTGTGTGTTTAAATTTTATGTTTCAAAAGAAAAGTAAGATGGATGCCATTTTAGTGATCAACAGATTTCACTAGGCTGATTTTCCCTTGTGAGCAGAAAATTATGGAAGCAAAAAAGAGTGCTCCTACTTCTTATCTAGTGAAAATCATGGAACAGCATGTGCAGTCAGGCTACTGAAAAGAGCTTTCCTTCAATGACCTTCACAGTTTGTCACCTGGGACCCTGAAAGACTCATACTCATACATAAACCACATGTAATGGGGATTCTTCATCCAGGTTCTCTCTCTCTCTCTCTCTCTGAAATGAGGCAGGTACCAATTGGAGAGAGGGCTTGCGTGTTTATGGATTGTTTCAAATGTTTGTGGAATCCTCTGCTCAGAGATGCTCACCTGCTTTCCAACAGTAGTAGTTTAGAAGAGGTAGCCATGTTTGTCTGTCGTAGCAAATGAGACAACATTGAAAGGAAAAAACAGAAGACAAAGATACCTTTCACATTAAAATATAGCAGTCAGTCTTCAAGGTGCCACAATATTTTTGTCTTTGTTTTTTAAATTTTTCCTTTGTTTTTATCTGATATATTTTGCAACATAATGTCTTTTTGACACCAGACAACTCCCTTCTTACTTTCCCAGAGTTTTAAAAATCTATAATGGAAATTGGTTTGATTACTGCTACTTTTATCCAGCTGTTTTCTTGTGTGTGTGTTTTGTAAGCTGTCCATCTGTTTCTTCATGAGAGCATATTCATTCTCATGTTCCAGGGCCAGACATTTTAGTCCTCCAGAGGCATAAAGAATTCACACATTGATGTTTATTTAATTTTATTTATTTATTTTAAATATTTGACACTTCCAAAAAAAGGACCCACAGTGGTTTACATAATTAAAAACACAATATTAAAAGCTAAAAACTTTAAATTGTCAAATATTTAAAAATAATTAAATAAATATATTAAAGTTATTAGGCAAAAGCATGAACCTTAATATTTTAGTATCGTACAACATTGTTACCTGAGAAGCTGTAAACAGTTTTACCAAGTTTCAAGTTCTAGCACAGTTTTTTTCTTGTTCTTTTTCCAGACTAACTACCTGAAACAAAAAAACAAAAGTCTATTATTTTTTGCCAGTGATTTACCTTTTTTGTCCCAACCAATGTGCATCTCTGTGGAGTGGAGAGGAATGCCCCATGCCTCTGTGTGTGTAAACCTTGTTGCTGAGAAACAGCAGTTATTTACTCTGATTACCAGTAGTTTGGAGTCTTCAGTGGGTTTAAGAGGTGCAAAATGTGTACAGTGGTGCCTCACTTAGCGATGTTAATCCGTTCCAGAAAAAACATCGCTAAGTGATTTAATCGCTAAGCGATTTTAAAAAGCCCATAGGAACGTATTAAAACGCTCCCCCACGATCATCGCAAAGCGAATTTTAGCCATAGAGGACATCACTAAGCGATTGCTCCAGCGATGGCCAAAAGTCCATCGCTAAGCGAGGCACCACTGTATATAAAATCCCAACCCCAACATTGACACTAACTATACTGCTAACCTTCAATACAGTAGACTTCTCATGGGGTCAGAAAATGCTTCACAATTCACCTCATGGATGCAAGACAAGGAGTGGGTAGAAGTTAAGACACAGAAAGGATGCATCAGTGTGCCATGTTTTGAGGAAGGAGGAGGAAGTGAACTGTGCTGTCATTTTCCTTGCTTTGTGGGGGTGGAACAAACCTACTCAGGCCTTGCAAACTGTAGATTGTGGCTTCCTTTACGGAGTCAATCCATTCCATGTTACGTCTTCCTCTTTTCCTACCTTCAACTTTTCCTAACTTAGCTATCTACTTCTTACCATATCTTCTTTCTTTTAACCTAAGATTTCATCTCTTTTGCAAGTGCTTACCTGTAGTCAGGATAGGTGTATGCCATAAGCTAGTTTGATGTCCTGGGGCACTGAGTTGTTGCCCGTATGTCCTTCCCATGGGCTGGTCATATGCATGAGATAAATTGCTTTGTGAGCAGAATGCTGGTTTCTACAGAACCAGCGGTGCTCTTTTGTTCTAGAATCTAAAGTTTCTCCCCTTGTTCAGTCATTACTTACCTGGTTCTCAGCAATATGACTGGCCCCTCACTTCTCTGTTGCAAATTGCTTCATATGGAAAACAACCCATTTGAAGAGGAGAAGTGTCTTATTTGCATGGAAGTACAATACATGGGCACTCAGGAAAATTTGGGTCCTTGCTCACTTGAAGTGTTTGCACACAATCAGGAACCACGCTTCAAATATGTTGCCTTTTGTGAAGAAAAGGCTATGATGAAGAGTGGGAGAGTCAAGTCATTTTTCTCTAAGCCTGTTTCCAAGACCAAGGTAAGCAATTACTGAATACGGCTATAATAAGCACTGAGTGATCAACACGAAAGTTTATCAGGGTTATACAGACTCAGCCTGTATTCAGAAACTGAAAGGTAGTCACAAAAAGAACTGGTACCACTCAAAGTTTCATCTTATTTTCCGGAGGACAGCACAGGGGCTCTGCCCCTTGTATGTGGGGTTCCAGCCTTAACCAGAAGCAAATGAGCAGCAACACTTGCTCAGTTGCATGCGCCCAATGCCGTGCTGCACGACTGCACAGCTTACAGGGAATGTTGGTACCAGTTAATGTTACTGATCAGTAATCACAATTATCACAGATTTATCAGGCCACAATAAATGAATTTGCTCCCAGGGGTACCAGAGGTGTTGTGTCACTTCCAACTTATGAACAACTCAATGAAACAACAAAATCTAGGCTACCATAATTATAAATTTCCCCACAACACCCAATCCTCAACAAGGAATATCTTTACTGAATAAAGACAGCTCACGTTAACTTTACAATATTTTGTTCTCCAGTCCTTGGCTAGAGCAGAGACTGACTGTCATCTGCTGTGTTAAAGGCAAGGCTTCGCTGATGGAATAACTGGAACATTGTTCTGGAATGAAAGAACCAGGATTCTTTTTTTAAATGCTTTAATGGCTTGTTGCTGTTGTGTATAGTCAAGGCAGAACTGACTCATAGGGTCCTTAGTAGGAGTTTCAAGGCTATGTATTTAAGGTGTGTTTTTATCAGTTTTGTCCACACACACGTGAGTTTCCGAGCAGAGCCAGAAAAGCAAACCCAGGTCTCCTGAGTCCTATTCATTACTCTGTCCAGTACACCATACTGGGTAAATCGTGCTTAAATGGTACCTTGCCTTATATCAAAACAACTGGTGCTAATGGTGTTTGCCAGTTCTTACTTACAGGTGTCTCTCTGCTTGCTGTTCCTTTATGCCATTTTCAGCAACATCTGTATTCGCAAAAACAATTCCCTGTGCTAGCATGCAATATTGAAGCCATTCAAATGATGTCAGTAAAGTAATCCAATGGTATGAGCACACCACTATAGTACATTTAGGATAGTAAATACAAATAACACTTTAAAATTTACTTAAAGTGTTATTTGTTGTTTGTATCATGCTGTGAACCGCCCAGAGTGGCCTTGTAGCCAGATGGATGGTATAAAAATTGAATAAATATATGAATGAATGAACCACAGGTAATTAGCTCACAGAAGTTTTGGAACATGCCTTGTGTGTTTACAGTGATATTTAAATCTTACAAAGCACCTGAATCAACTTTTCTCCTCTCATTATCTTCCTTGAGCCCTTTCTTTCACGTTCATGTGCATGGCTCCCTCTATGTACAATTTAAAGAACTGATCTTGTTACGAATTTTGCCCTGATACAGACACACACAACTCAAATCTGAAGGGGAAGTTCCATTTGCGGTCTCCTCCAGAAGATCCAAAATAGGAACTACCATAAATAGGAGCTGTTAAACTGTTACATGTTAAGGGGTGTGTGTGTGTGTGTTTCTAGGGTAATTGCTGCTGGTTTTAATATTTCTATTTTTATTTTTGTTTTCTATTTTACGAGTTGTAACCCGCCCAGAGTAGTTTTGTGACATAAATGGGAGTGGGATACAAATTGAATGAATGAATGAATTAACAAACAAACAAACAAACCCATTTGTGTATTCTCAAAGGCTTCCATGGACGGGATCTGATGGTTTCTGTTGGTTTTTCGGGCTGTTTGGCCGTCTTCTGGAGGTTTTTCTTCCTAGCATTTTGCCAGTCTTTGTGGCCGGCATCTTCGAGGACAGGAGATAGAAATCAGTCTGTGTTCTGGTGTTTTGTATTAACTTTCCCATCTATGACCCTAAGGTAGCATTTGTTTGTTATTTTTATGTGTATCCTGACCTTCAAATATATTATTAGGTTTGCTTTGCCTCCTGCTCCCATTGTAAGAAAAGAACTCATACCAAAGAAACTGAGAAATCGTTTCCCCAACTCCCCTTTTTGAACACTTCCATATCTCCTACTCAAGAAGTGTGAAAGTAAGAAATATGAATCAAGCATAGATGAGACTCCAGAAATCTTGAATATGTTTTTCTCCATTAAGGAACATAGATGATCCAAAGGAAGTATTTGTAAGGCAGAAAGTTTGGTAGATGGAGTGCTGGGTTTTTAATTCCCCTTTTCTGCTGCACAGAACCATCCCACAGCACCACCTAGCAGAATAAATCAAGAATAGCAGAATTAATTGTGCAATTGGGAATGAAACAACTTGGGAGTTAAAATGCTCTAAACAAGTGGTCTCCAACCTTGGGCCTCCAGATGTTCTTGGACTACAACTCCCAGAAGCCTTTACTACCACCTCTACTGGCCAGGATTTCTGGGAGTTGGAAGTCCAAGAACATCTGGAGGCCCAAGGTTGGAGACCACTTGTTTAGAGCATTTTAACTCCCAAGTTGTTTCATTCCCAATTGCACAATTAATTCTGCTATTCTTG